GTTACTTAAATAGTTGGTTAATGTTAGTTAGATTATGATTATTATATTTGTAACCCTGTGTTCAGCTTTGGGAAGTGGGGGAGGGGGAGGGAGGGGCTTGGGGGTGGGTATGGGGGTTTATATTGTAATTTTTATAAAACTTTTAATAAAAAAAAATCAGCAGGGCATTTTGGATTTGTAAAAACATTACACTTAATTAAAAGGCAATTTTGGTGGCCATCCATGAAAAAGGACATAGAAAGCTACGTGGCCAGCTGCCCAACGTGCGCAACTGCAAAGAGGTTACAAGGGAAAGCGTCTGGACTTTTACAAACAGTGGCAAATCCCTCAGCCCCCTGGAGGGAAATAGCCATGGATTTTATATTGGAACTACCAGAAAGCAATGGAAACACTGTCATCTAGACGGTTACGGACTTATTTTCCAAACAGGTGCACTTTATCCCTTGCCAAAAGATCCCCACCGCAAAAGCCTTGGCAAAACTTTTCGTGCAGCACATTTACCGATTGCATGGGGCACCCCAATGCATCATATCTGATAGGGGAGTGCAATTTACGTCAGCATTTTGGAAGGACTTTTTACCCCTCTTAGGAACCACTCAGGGACTGTCATCTAGTCATCATCCTCAGGGGAACGGTCAATCAGAATGTTGTAACTCAGTACTTGAGCAATATTTAAGATGCTTTCTTAATTTCCAGCAGTCGAATTGGACGGACCTACTCCCTTTCGCAGAAGTCGCTTACAATAACGCAGTCCACTCCAGCACAGGCTACACTCCTTTTCAAATAGCCAACGGTCAAAGTTTCAACCCCATGCCAGAATTAATCCCAAACGAACCAGCAAGCCCATCACTGAAAGAGTGGATAGAACAATTACAAAACACCTGGCCAATAGTTAGAAAAGCCTTAGACGAAGCTAGGCAAGCATACAAAGCACAAGCAGATAAACAAGAGCTGAACCCACACCATTCATTTTAGGAGAAATGGTATATTTGCCTACAAAATACCTAAAATCCCTACAACCTTGTAAAAAACTTGGACCAAAATATATAGGACCTTTTCCAATTAAAAGAATCATAAACCCAGTAACAGCAGAATTAGAATTACCCCAAAATCTCAGGCAAATACACCCAATCTTTCACTGCAGTTTACTGAAAAGAGAACAACAGTCACCCTTACGGCCAAAAATCCCCCCCCCCACCATCTCCAATCATGGTGGAAGGAGAACAACACTTGGAAATAAAGGAAATCCTGGACTCTAGGAGATATCATGGGACAACTCAATACCTAGTAGCATGGAAACACCTCCCCTCCTCACAAAACAAATGGGTTCATAAACGTCATGTCAGACCCCCGAAACTGTTAAAAGATGTTTCATACAGAGTATCCTAACAAGCCAGACTTTTATACCTGTTTTATTTTCTCTACAGGTGGATCTCTCTTATTTTTAAGGGGTCAGTATGTCAGGATCCAGTTATATTTCCTTTCTATCTATCTCCTCTAATCTAAAACCAATTATTACTATTTCCTGGGTCCTGCCATACTCCCAAGGGGGACGGGGGGACATGAAGAGGGGTTTTATTACTTTCACTTCCTCCATTCACTACAAAGTAACCTTTTGTTTATTTGCCTCTACTAACCATTACAATGGAACCATTTGAAGTCCCTCTGAACTTCTCTTCCTTACTGGGAAACTAGAAAGGGTGTGTGTGTGTGAAAAGACACAGACCTCCAGAATCTGGTTTATTTCTCCGTCAAGATAAACTCTGAAGAGTTGGTGAATGATCATGGAGCCAGTTTGATGTTATCTTTCATCGGTTTAACACCTAGAGAATTGCCGGCCTGAGTCGGCCAGAAGGAATGTGGGCAGCAGTTTGCTTAGGGACACTTTAAAACATCGATGTATAAGGGAATCCCTCAGATCCTGTCTATTATGCCTACTATCAGTTTCTTTTAATAAAAGTTCCTATTGGAAGAGACTGTTTCCAAGAGTTCTGCTTTCTTAAGATGTGGATTGAAGTGGTTCCTTACATTGGATCTCTTTAACAAGCTTCTCCCATTATTTCTTGTCCTGCCCTCTGGTGCTTTGGAGAATAAGTCAATCTCCTCTTCACTGTGACAGCTCCTCAAATACTGGAATACAGCTATCATGTCACCCCTAATACTTCTCATTGTTAGGCTAGTCATATCTAGCTCTTTTAACTGTTCAGCAAATGATTTAGCCTCCAGACCCCTTTCCAGTACATTTTCCAGGTTTCATATTTGTTTCATATATACCATTCCCCCCCCAAAAATAAGACCCGGGTGTTTTTTGTTTGTTTGGGGGTTTTTTTGCCTCCAAAAGAGGCACCAGGAGGGGTGTCTTTTCCATGGTCTTACTTTACGGCGGAGGCACCAACTGTCCCGCCCAGCCGGCCCACTTCTTCTGCAGCCGCTCACTGCCACTTGCGTGCATCACTCCCGGCCTCCATTTTGCCATCAGAGGCCTTCAGGAAATGCCTCTGCAGCTGAGAATGGAGCTCCAGATTGACACGTGCGGTGCCCCCTGGCTTGCATTTTGCTGTCAGAGGTCTTCCAGAAAGGCCTCTGCAGCTGAGAACCGAGCTACATATTCAATCAAATACAAGAAAGTGAAGAAAGAAATGAAACAATACAAATATAATGGGATACAAATACAAATGGAAAAATTCATGTCTCATTAGTCACAAATTTATGAAATGCATTATACAATATGATCTAAAATAATATCTAATTCTCCACATCATTAAAAATACTATTCTTTTTTTACCATGTGCTATCATTGATTTCTTCTCATTTCTGAAAATCATCTATACATGAAAGACCAGAATGTTGCAATGAAAAAGTTACTTGTGTTTCTCTTCCCATAATAGGTATGTTGCACAGCCTGAAGTCTGTGGTATCATCAGAAGCCCTGTGTGGCCTCCAGAGACCTAGAAATATTGTTTCCAAACTTGATAGTACTATATTTCATTTTAATATAAATTGTAAATGAAATGAAATTGGTCTTCAATTTCCCTACCCATTTCTTTTCAGATTATGGTGTTAGCATAGCTATCTCCAAGGTATGACATGGAACAAAAATGAGCCCTAATTAATAAGCATACTGGTACTAGTGAGTTGAAGTAAGCATGTCTAGTTATTCAGAAATATTAGGAACTATAAGAGTAATGTTAAGTTCTCTTTGTTAAAAAAAGAATTGTAGAGGATCTACTCAGGACTGAAAAACATAAGGATTGAATTAAATTAAATGTTGCCCTATGATATTAATTTTATTATTAAGCACAACTGGCAAATAAAGTATACCAAGGCAAAATAATTTTTGTGCTATCAAAGTTCTGTACATCCTTTCTGTGTAATTCTTTTTATTGAGCTCAAACATTACCATAATATATTCAAAGTCTCGATATACATATTTTTGATTCATTTGATATTTTCCCATATCTTGCTATGTTAATACTGTTAAGCAAAGATTATTTAATCTAAACAGTTAAAATTACTTAACTTGAGAAAACATTTATTGCTATTATACAGAACAGGGTATATACAGAATGTGCTTCCTATAAAATGTGTACTTCACAAACTTAAAATGCTGTTTGAATACAAATTTTAGATTTGATTATACAATATATTACATATATTAATTTATATACAGTGATAGCAGTGAGTGGCATCTTGTGTATACTAGTTCTAAAAATTGCCAACCTCATACAAATAGGGAAATAATAATCCTATGTATGTTTACTCAAAAGTCTTACTGAATTCATTGGCATTTACCTAGATAGGTGCAAATAAAATTGTCATCTAAATGATTACCTCTTAGTATTTCCATCATCTTTGATATTACCATCTGACCAAAGCATTCTTATTGTTGTTAAGCAGCAAATATTGCAATAGTGAGTAATTTTAATGGCCTTCACATAAACTGGATAAAACAAATACTATTTTCATGGAAAGATATGAATTGTAAATAATATTAAGAGTTGTGCATTAAAAGACTAGGCATAGAATGAACCAGAGGCAATTCTGAATTTAGTCCACAAGTGCAAATATTGTTTAACTGACTAGAAACAGGAAGCACAGTGTCATCAAAGTTAATTTATACATAACAAGAAAATTGCCAAGGAAGTCAACCATAAAAAGGATGTTCAGGAAAAAAAAAAGCAAGAATTGGATTTCAACAGGCAGGTACAAAATCCAGATGTTCTGGAATCCCATAAACTATGACTTTTGGGGCTGTGTTTTATGTTTTAGTCTAAACAGCTTGTTGGCATCCTTAGCAGTAACTAGACCATAATGTATGGCTGCACTCTCTAATTCCTTATGAAATAATAGAAAAATTTACTAAACAGCTGTGGCATTCATCTGGCTGGGCGTGTGCATATCACCTGTGTACGTAATATTTAATTTTTATCCCACCTATTACTTTATAAATAACTCTAAGGTGACAAACATACATAATATTCCTTCCTCCTATTTTCCCCACAACCATCCCATGAGCGAGTTAGGCTGAGAGACAGTGACTGGCCCAAGGTCACCCAGTCGGCTTTCAAGCCTAAGGTGAATTCAGCCTCCTATCTTCTAGGCCAGCAACTTAACCACTACATCTAACTGCTCTCTTAAAAAAAAGAAAAAGTTATAGTACATGCTCTGATGCTCAGATAGCCCCAGATGGAGGTGTAGAATGCTGAGAAACTTGTGAAAGCTGATTCCAAAAACTGGGAAATTTGGGGAGGTGCAAGCACGTTATTAAAAAAACTGGCTTCAACGTTCATTGCTGGAGGGACAGAATTCTTCACAGGCAGATTATCAACTATTCTTTTTTACACACTGACTATATTATCACAATAAAAATTCCACATAGTATGCAATATCCTTTTTATCTAAAATTTAATACTGGCTTTCAAGTGATTAATAAGCTAAAGTGCTATTATGTTTCTTTAACAAAAGGAAATCAAAACTCAGAAATATTATAAACACACACATACATACACACAGTTTTGTCTCCAAAATACAATTTAATCCACTCCTGTTGATATCCCCAAGAAATGTGTCTTGTCTTCTTCAGCATCTTTCTTCTGAAACCAGGCTTTTGTACTTTTCCCCTGAAGATAAGCATCAAGAAAGTAACAGATTCCAGGTATATCACTTGGAAAGTTGGGAGGAAGTTCTTGTCTTGAGCGAGGAGTAAACACAAAGCCAGGGTGATCCTTTATCAACCTGCAATGAAAAGTATTATTACATATTTCAGATATAACCTGTACCTCTCATCAGCATAGTTAGGAGACTGGAAGAGCTATCATCACTCCACACAAGGTAACATGGTAAGAATTCAAAAAAATGCCACTGGACAAAAGGAAGGTTTCAGATCATTGTTACAGGGGTAAGGAACAAGCAGCAAAAGCGAGTACTGGACATGGTAAGATACTATACCTGTAGGTAGTGGGGCTGACATTTATTTTCCTAGGGATACTGCAAGACTCAAACTTGTTGGCAAGTGTTACATTGTTTCCAAATAGACAGTAACGTGGCATTTTCACACCAACAACCCCAGCAAAAACAGAGCCAGAATGTAGTCCTATACGCATCTTTTATAAGAGAGAAAGAAGAAAGAGATGTTAAAAATCATAACCACATTTAGTGAAAATGAAAACATTATTGAGTTCTACATATTTCTATATGTCAGGATGAATTGTGAACTCAGTTTGGAAGCTGTATTCAGTTGAGTTCCAATGCTTACATTTTAGAGCCTTCTAAAATATGAAATACTGAGATAATTCAAATCTATCATATATAGAAAGATTCAACCACAGCCTATAATGAAGAAACATCAAAATCCTTAAAGTCTCAAATATGTATGTTATCACTATTGCATATGATAATATAATAATATAGTAAGCATTATATACAAAATAGTCTAAGAGCAAGCACCATATCTCAAACCCAATTTTGAAAAAAAAAGAAAAGGTTTTCCTTCTGCTCATAGTCATCTTCTACTCAAACGTGCCCAATTTTACAAGCTTGGGAGATTTAAAAAAAGCAGGACAACAAATTATCTGATGTCATTCATCTGTCCTGCTATTGAGCTGTGAAAACCTCAAGTTAATATGAAATACAACCCACAACAAATAGACTAATGCATCATTAATATGAAATATTACTTGCATATTAAATTAAAACGTGTATGAAAAAAGCATACACAGTAATATTATATGGGACAGTAATAACAGAAGAGATTTCCTGAAAACAGATAATCCATTGCAATAACATCACCCATTCCTCCCATTGACAAAAAAAATGGCTAACTATCATAATATTAACATACATGAATGGAAAAAAAGGATGAGAGGTTTGAACTCTGGATTTGTTATACATAAACTAGGGAGATAATTTTATTTGTATTAATGGAATTGTTTTAATATCAAACTAAAAACGTGTTAAGAATTATGTATAGGAAGTACAACTGTGAGTCTTCAAGTGCAAGTATCACTTTGGGAAAAGCCTGAAACTACAGAGAAAATAATTGAAGTCATGTTCAAATAGCTTGCTAACCTTGATGGATTCTCCATGTGGTGACATCACTTCATTGGACAAAACCATCATTTTAAGTGCCATTAGTGCAATCTGAATCGCATGGGTCTCATTTTCTTTATGTAAGCCTCCAGCTACACAATATGCATCTCCAATGGTTTCTACCTAAACATTAAAATGAACAATTTATAAGAAAATTAAAAAAGGAAATTCAAAACAGAGTTTGAAATGCTTTTGTCAACCATATTCTTTCCCAAACCACCCACTATTCCATTCTTTTAGTCAAAGTAAATAGTTCTGTTATGCAATCTATCACTGCCAAAGATTTTTGCATAACAAAGTCTGATTCATTTTTGGTAATTCTTCTTTCTAATAACAATGTTCTGTCAAAATATTTATCCTGAATTCTACTTCGAGGCACTATCAGCAGTCCCAAAGTACTTACTCATAAATAGTGTCATTGAGATCAATATATTAATTTCAAGGTAAATGTAAGAGAGATTGCAGTCTAACGCACATAATTTCCCATTTTACAGCTAAAGCATCAATTTCTAAGTTATATTATGGTTCCTATTTGATTATACCTACAGTTTAGCTGCAAATAAACATGCTCCATTATATATGTTTTAAACCTGTTATAATTTTGAATCAAAAGAGTTCTTCAAATCCCATTCACTTTTGTAATCATTTCTCTTGGAAAAACTATTCTTTACCTTGTAGATATCCAATTCTCCACACTGATAATCAAAGCGAGTGTAGAGCTCATTAAGCATGGTGATAACCTGCATGGGTGAACACTGAGAACAGATTGCAGTGAATCCTACAATGTCAGAAAAAAGCATTGTGACATTATTAAATTTCTTGGCCTGTACAACTTGTCCTTGCCATAGCTGCTGAGCAACCTCCTCAGGGAAAATAGAGCACAAAAGATCAACTGTCTTTTTTTTCTCTTCTTCAAGAGCTTGATGAGCTTGTTCAAGAGTTACTTTAAGCTTCCCTAATCTTTTCTTCAATCCATCTTGAGCTCTGGCTTGTTCACCTATTAAAACAACATCCCTAAGTGCATTATGAATAGGAATATCTGAAAGATATAAGCCACGTCCTGTGAAATCTTCCAGTCTATCCACACAAGGAGATCCCAAGAACAAAATGGCATTAGATTCAATAATGTAAATCATTTGTCCTTTAAGATCCATAACCTAAGCCAAGAGAGAAAAAGGAAGCAATGAGAGAATTCTGAAGCTACTTAACATATACAAAGATAACAAAAATCAACTTATTTACTCTGTGGTATCTATCCACATTCTAGACAAACTGATCTGGAGTACTTTTCCTCCATAATCAGTTCTGTATTTAATAGATTTTTACTTTCTGATGCCTATATTCCAGTGGTGGCGAACCTATGGCACGCGTGCCAGAGGCGGCACTCAGAGCCCTCTCTGTGGGCATGCGTGCCATGCCCCTGAGATGGCAACCATCCCTCTTCAACCAGCTGCCTGCTAAATCGATGAGGTCCCATGTGGCCGGATGCATCCCAGCATGGCTGGTTTCCCTCCCCCCCATCCCATCCCTCCTGGCCTTGCATGGTCTCCTTTTCCTGGGCACGACCCACTGCATCGCCTCCTCAGCTGTCGGCCGGCCGTTCAGCTCAGAGGCGGCTTCTCTGAACTGCTGGCGGCGGGCTGCGGAGCCCCAGAGAGCGCTGGTCAAGGGGCTGGCTGGCTGTGGCTGCTGACGGACACTGTCGGCCCCCATGTGCTCGCTGGCCTCTGTGTGCGGGGGCCTATGGTGTCAGGCAGCAGCCGCCCCGGCCTCACCTTGCCCTGCAACAATGGCACCCCTGCCCTGCCCTGCCTCGCCTTGCCTCACCTCACCCCACAGGACAAGCCTCCTGCCCACCATCCCACCTGCCAGAAACCCCCTGGATCTCCCCCAACCCTGCCCGGCCTCCACAGGCGTCCCTCCCCACAAGCAACATTGAGGAGACCACGCCCACCTTGGCCACACCCACCCAGTCTGCCATGACCACCACACCCACACCCACCCAGTGGGCCACGCCCACCTGGCACCCAGAGATAAATAAGTGGGTTTTGGGTTGCAGTTTGGGCACTCGGCCTCTAAAAGGTTCGCCATCACTGCTATATTCTATGTTTTTTATCTTCTGATTAAGTTAGTTATAAATGTGTTTTTCAAAGTATCTCTAGACTCTTGCAATTTTCATCAAGATGAACATCATCTATTAATCTGAAGAACTAACCAATGCTTTTCACAAATGCATGCAAGAACATTTCCCACTTTTGGAAAATCTATTGTACTGAATGAAAATGAATATGCATAGAGGAAAGATACAGATTCAAATAATTAACATGTTTCTCTCCTTCATAAATTCACAGTGAAGAGAATTAAGTGAAAACTTAAAAAGGTGGGGCAGATCATTTACACAAATCAACTGATAGGTTGGGTTCATTCATTACAATAAGCCATAATCTGATTTGTTTTATGAACCATGCCACTATAGGCTATGAACCATGGTTGGTGGCTTATTTATCTGCACAAAAATAATTAAACAAATTGTAGCTCACCATAATATACACACATTCAATCATAGTCTCATACCTTAATTAAAGAAAAATAGATATAATGAAGAAATGAAGAAAAAAGATACATCTAATTCTTACCCCAGTTGACTTTTTAAGAACTTTGTCTCCTCGTCTCACTCTTATATTAAACTGCATGTTCAGCATTGTCATGATCCCACTAAATGTGCAATTTATTTTAGGAGCTAAAATTTCAAACCACTCATCAAACTGTGGCTTTGCTTGAAATTCTCTTTTGTTTAATAGTCTCCTGATGCCATTGCCAAATTGCAATATAACCATGGCCTTGTCAAACATGCAATGGAAAGGAAACGTTTTACAGAACATAGAAGTAGGAATGACAAGAGAAGATTGGGGTTTACAGGGTGATAGTGATGGCTTTGTGCTTTTGACGTTTACAGAATATAATAAATAAGGTTGATCAATAAACTCGGAACTGTCTTTGCAGAAGCTGGGTGGCATTACCATTACTTCCACCTCCATGTCATACAAAATGAGAGCTGCTGCCTTAATAATGCCAGACAGGATGAGTGTGGTTGGTATTTTTGGGGAAAAATAATATACATTTAAAAAATTGGGATCTTTTTCCAAGCACAAAATTGAGACTTCTTCAACTCTGCCCATTTTTCCAGCTTCATGGCAATGAGAGCTCTGCTTCAGAAGAGTACTGAAACTGTTCAAAAAGTCTTTCAGACTTCCCCCAACAACTCCAAGGATGTGTTCATCTTCTTCATAACATATTTTGAACAGCTCTTCACCAAGTGATTCTCTTATAACAGTGACTGGAATTCCTGCCAGCATAAAACATTTTGATTACCAGTATTGTTCTAAATACAGTCTCTAAATTCCTCTATTCAATGTGTGTTTGATTTACAATGTACATTCTTTCATTTACTTTATTTAACCCTGTTTTCTATTACTGAACACTTCAGATAAATAACTATTTTACATCATCTATACAGTTAGATTTTCTCTCCTGACACCTTGTATGACTGAAGCAAAGTATTATTTTTCTTCTTCTAGCTTTTTTTTTGTAAAAATCTGGTGAGCATTTATTATTGGCTGTTGCAGAAGAAATGTAACCCCCAACAAACTTTGGGATGTAATTGCTCTACTAAAAATTACTATTGGTACAAGTGGCAAATATAAAATGGGTCACAGATGGATCTTTAACCCTTTTCTAAATTTAATCTATTCATAGCCATTTGGCCTTCTGAATGAGAAGGGCAGAGATGCAAATGACGAATGACTGAAATGAAAAATCTAAGAATAAGAAAAAAATAAACTGCTGCTTTTCTTCTACTAATCAAGGGAACAGATTCTACAGATTTGGAGTTTTGTCTTTGCAGCTTAACATTTAATTTGAATCTGAGATTATCTGAGATAACATTTAATTTGATGTTTTCCGCAGAGAGACAACATCAGAGGAGAACTGCATTCTAATCTTTTATTCAGGGAACTGTTTGTGTGTGCATATGTGTGAATAACAAAAAAAGAAGAAGAGGACATTTGGGGGAATGAGCTAGGGTTTAGATTTTTTTCCTGTTAGGGAACCAAACTGAGGTCCTATTGCTATGGCAGAAGAGAGGGCAAAACAACAGATGTTTTTCTTTCCTATTTTTCTTTTTTTCCCCTCAAATTGTTTTCCTCATACTAGTAATAAAGAGAGTTAAATAAATCACTTCAACTTCAGTTGTGGAATAGTTGTTTCCCATTTTGTTTTGAAGTCATGATTGGACAGTCAGAACTCACTGCTTATATCAGTGTGATAAAAGTAATGTTGCTATATTTGATGGCAAACTCCATCCCTTTGGGTATGGATACAACATCATAATGCACATCAAAAAGCGGCATTTGTTGAAATACCACAATGGTGCTATCAAATCCTCTTCCCCATCACAATCACCCCAAGGCCTGGGATGCCCTGCTATAATCTTTTCCATATTTCTAATATTTTCTTTTTATAACATTTTATAACATTTCCTTGGAACTTGTTGGGGTCAAAGAATCAGGCTATCCATGCAAGTTGGAACATAAATGATTTACTGAAGCCTATACACAAGAATAGGGTCAACTAACAATCAGCAATAAATTGGCACTGGGTTACAGAATTCAAGGGAGGATTAGACTTGTACAGGTAGTCCTCGACTTACAATTATAATCAAGCCCAAAGTTTCTGTTGCTAAGCGAGACAGTTATTAGGTGAGTTCTGCCCCATTTTACAAGGCACAGTTGTTAAGTGGGTGACTGCAGCTGTTAAGATAGTAACATGGTTGTTAAGTGAATCTGGCTTCCCCATTGACTTTGCTTGTAAGAAGGTCACAAAAGGTGATCACATGACCCTAAAACACTGCAAACACCATAAATATGAGTCAGTTGCCAAGATCTGATTTTTGATCACATGACCATGGAGATGCCGTAATGGTTGTAAGTGTGAAAAATGTTCTTAAGTCACTTTTTTCAGTGGCGTTCTGACTTTGAATGGTCAATAAATGAACTGTTGTAAGCCGAGGACTACCTGTTATCTCTTGTGGTAACGCAAGAACTCTAAACTGATATACATTTTACTCTGCCCCATCCTCCCTATTTTTTCTGCTCTTCTCCTTAAAAACTCCTGGAAAAAGGTTTGTGAGATTTAGTTTTGATTATAGATGTCTCTTTCTCTACGGTGAGAGAATTAGTTTTAAAAGGAATGTCCTTGGGATTATAGCCTAAGCAATTTATTATTTGTACTGTTCTATGCTGCCATGTGATTTCATGGAAGGCAACATTCTTTTAAATAACTAATAGACAACAACAGCAGGCAACTCCACTTAAGGAATAAGTTTTTAGCAGGTGTTCTTATTTGTAATGAACAAATTGCATGCATGCATGTATGTATGTATGTATGTATGTATCTATGTATCTATGTATGTATGTAAAATAAAAAGGATCGGACAAACACTTTTGGATCTTCTAATCACTACATACTTCTTTTGTTAGACAATCAGATTATTTCCTGAAGTATATGCATCCTTGATACATTGTGTTTTATACTCTCCATGAACTTTATCTAGTGACCAACAAGATATCCACAGAATAATGAAAATATATCAAAAGAGGCAATAAACAGAGGAGAAACAATTGTGGTGGGAGAGAAAATAGAATCATTTTTTTAATGATCCAATATTGGCATTTAAAATTGGGGGGAACGGCATTTCTCTGTTCCCCATGATAAAATTTTATCCAACATATATCAGGAAACCTTTTAGCATAAAAAGTGGAGTGTAAATGTCTTAAATACATACATACATACATACATACATACATACATGCATACATACCATACCATGCATATACGTGGTTAGCATTATTGACAATTTTATGCCATGCTATCAGAATATAAGGGACATAAACTCAGCTGTTATTATTGTGATTATCTGCCTGTTCAGTTGCATGCCTTCCTTTTGATAGTAAGACATTAAAGAAGACTCTATGTCATTAGTAGTCTTGGTACAACTCAGGTTATTGGGGATACTAAATAAACTGATTGTAGTGTTAGCACTTGCTATTCATAAATATATAATTACCAGCCAAATTTGCATGATCAGTGAGTAGCTTCTCAAAATCTTTTTCCCCACACTGTCTGTAAAGGAAGAAAAACACAATTTTAAAACTGCAATTGTCTAGTAAAGATGAAATAAAACATAAATATACATAATTAATAAAACAATAAGTAATATATCAGAGTTTAAAGTATAATGCTTATTCTTAGTTTTTCTGCCATCTATACTTGAAAACTGATAGAACATGCAGCCAAATCAGTGAAATATTTCAGTACTATAAAAAGGGGGTACAACTCAAGATTCAATCTCTTAACCCTGTTTTGACAAAAAAGTCCAAATTTTGCTATTAAATTATAGCTCAAATTCTTTGCTGTTTAGTACAGAAGACACTGTTTTATAGTTCAGCACAAATTGAGTCACCAAACCTGAGCTGCAAAAATCTGGATGATCACAAGATGGCAACAAAGTTCACATTTTATATACATTTTTATTGCCATCTTGTGGTCTTCTCCATACTTGTACTTATTGGATAAATGAGATAGGAACCTTTGCTAACTTACAGAAAAATCACTCCCTATTTTTGTAAAAGAATATGAGTGTTACATTTAATAATATTAAAGCCTTTGTTTAATAATATACATCACTCTACCAACAGCATATTAAGCGTCACAATCCAAAATACCGAGAAAAGAAACTATACTATAAAGCTGCGATTCAACTTATACTTTGTAAGTATTAAAACTTAGTCATTATATAATAGGAAATTGAGATCAATGAGGCAGCAATAACTGCTATATAAATCTATCACTCTTTTTGAATTTAAATGCTGCAACTACAGATAATAACTTACCTGATTTCTTTTATGTTATTATTGGCTAGGCTTCTTTGAAATGCAAGACACAACTTTTCATACTGAAATGAGAAAGGTCATATTAAATCAGATGATATTTCAATATGTAATACTAGTGTCAGAGAGAACCTGGTCTTTTAAGCAGAAGGAGAGAAAAGGCACAAATGTCATTTAGATCAGGTGTAAATCCATTCTATATATTTAATAGAAATATATATTTAAATAGAAAGGTCTCTTTCCAAGGATCTGCACATAATGTGTGACACTTTGTCAACCACAGTTTAGACCAAGAGTAGTTTCTTTACTTACTTCAAAGACAGGCACAGTGATATTTACGTAAGGCAGAGAGAATATTTACATAAGGAAACTTGAAATGATTTAGACATGATGCTGTAGTATAGTTTCTTCACTAAATGGCAACCAACCAACTGGCCAGCCAGCAGCAGGACTGAATCCAGGAACATCTCCCAGCTGTGAGCTCTTGTTTAAGATAGAATTCTATCCCATACAAAACAAAAATAAGTGGATTTGGGGATTGCCAAAATTCCTAACTAATGTATCTGCCTTGTCTGCATAGTAGCAATCGTTTCCAAGATTCATCATATCTGCATACAGATCATAAATTTACAATTTTATGATACATTGGAATAATATGCTCACCAGGAATAGCTGTCATTGCACCAACAAGTTTTTAAAAAAATGAACAGTGCACTTGTATTTCACAATTATTCTCTATTACTCCTCAGCAATCCAACTCAGAGATTGTGGCTTTAAGAGACTTCTGGTTAGCAAATTTCTAAGAGGAATGAAGGGGACTTGTAAGGTATCTAAGCAATTAAGCCAGGCCTTGCACAATGCAGAATATACAGAGATAGTTATCCAGGCACCAACTATCTTCAATAGATGGTTGTCCAGATTCCTATTATTAACGGTCCATCAGAATGGCACACTTGAGTAGATATTATGTTTAACATCTGTTACCATTTTCATTATTTATTGCACCAAAAATTTAGACATTTAATGGAAGGAAAATAGGTATGAAGAAAGCTTATTTTGCCTGAAGAAAAACTGTAGTGCTGGCTTTAATATTTTATATTTGAAATTACCATAGAAATAATATTTCTCAGTAAAACAAAATGTAATAATTATATCTAAAAGAAACAATATATCAAGGATTTTCCATTTCCTCATTTGATTCTGCAATTTCTATTTTTTTAAACTCAAATTAAGTAATAAACACAGATATTTATTGATATCTTCAACTTGATCTAATGCTGTTTCAACTATATTGTATTCTCCACATGATTCTTAGAACAATCTCTGATTGACATCAATGGACACATATAATCAGATCTGGGGCATGATAGTTGAAAAAATCTTTCCAAATAGAAAATGGGTAACATAAGCTGATCTTCAGCTAGTAGAAAGAAATCTAATGTTTAAATATATCTGGATCTATTTAAGAAAACACATGCAAGTAGATGCAATTAGTCCTATATATCATATAAGCAATTCACTGACATATTGGAATACTTTGTCAGCCAATTTATATATAAAATTCTGCAGGTATAACAGAAAACATCATCATATAGGATTCAATATCCCACCATCCATATACATGCCAGATTCCTACTCTACTTTAACAAACAATATAGTATGAAAATATTGAAAAGGACTTTAGAAATGGCAGACTATGCATTTTACATATTTAAAGTCACATATCTCATGTTCAACTAGAGGATCCCAGACAATGCGATTCAAAAACAACTCTGCTTTAAAGATCCATAAGGATTGCTGACTGGAACAGGAAATTAGACTCAATCCATATGTTTTAGATAATAATTCCCATATCTTCTGCCATTGACTTTCCTGACTGAAATTTATGGCACTTAAATACAAAATGCTCATGGTGCAATAGGTAACTTGATTAATCTAGACCACAGGTGTCAAACTGCCGGCCCGTGGGCCAGATACATCATAGCGAAACTGCGCCCACCTCATTGCCGACAATGGTAAAAAAGTTGTGACGCCATCACAACACGTCATGTGACTTTTGCGAGTTTGACACCCCTGATCTAGACTGAAGCAAAACACTATTAGACAGATGGAATAAGAAGAAAACTGTTTTTTTCTCTAAGAAGTACCCTGAGACATTTTTTCTCATCAATGTATATAACAGTGGTGGCGAACCTATGGCACGGGTGCCAGAGGTGGCACTCAGAGCCCTCTCTGTGGGCACGCGCACCGTCGCCCCAGTCCTAGGCCTTCAGCTGGGTTTTATAAAACCTTTTCACTTTAGGCCTCCACCGCCGTGTGCAAAAAAAAAAAAAGGTTCAATCAGTCAATTTCAACTTCTCGCGGGGAAAAAAAAAGATCTTGCAAAGTTACCACCGTGGCCACGCCCACCCAATTGGCCACGCCCACCCAATGGGCCACACCCACCCAGCACTCAACGATGCATAAGTGGGTTTGGGGTTGCAGTTTGGGCACTTGGTCTCTAAAAGGTTCGCCATCACTGGTATATAATATTTATGTAATATAGATATTCTTCACTAATCAGAAAGATTTTTTCAAAATACTGTTAAAAATAGATTCGAAAGGAAAGTTCAGCTGGGAAAAAGAAATAAAATGTGTTTTGTTAAAGCAAAAATCCCACCTCATTAGCATATTTTGATGCCTCCCATCATTTCTGAAGGCAAAGTCAAAACTCTAGGAACCAATTTCTATTGCTATAAAAAACAAATGGGCTCTGAAATGTATAAAAATAGGTCCATTTAAATTTTGCTGTAGTGCTCCTGCCAGAACTAATTCAGTACCCTGAGTTTTGCTAGGTTGCTAGCCAGTATGAATCTTATTAAATAATTACTAAATCAAAGTATTATACTTGGGTACGTGTATCAACATGTTTCCAATAGTCTAGAAAAAAGATTGGAAAGTGGTATTTTTTTAAAAAACAGGATTTTCCAATTGATATGCCAAACAACTTACTTCTGGAGAGATGAGCTTGTAAATGGTCTCAGCTAAAGTATGAAGAAATACTCTGTTCTTGCTGATTTTCCTCTGTGGAAGGTTCCCATGAGGGACTTTCTCTCTGCAGATGGGCAAAGGAGTCTTAGAGCTGTTGGGCACCTCAGCACATTCTTCCTCATTTTCATCTGGAATGCAACTTTGGTTGAGCAAGGAGAAAGGACATTCGCCAGTAATCTTCAGCTCTTTCAGTTTTGTGCAGAACATGCTGTACAGGCCACTGTTATAAAATTGTGTGTATATCTCTATTTTGTGCTTAACGTGCCCCCTCCATTAACCAACAACAGAAGAAAGAGCTAACAGCAGGAATTCAAGGGGCAAATTATTTATGACTGTAAAATCAACTTCCAAAACAACTTTACCTTTATTAGCCTGCAACGAAAGAAGAGAAAAAAGTGAAAGGAAACAAATAGTATTATATTATACTTTGAATTATATTAAAGAACCAGCACAATTTCTATGTTGCTCAATTTTTGATATCTATTTTTTTGGACATCTTATTAAATTACACAGTAATTGATGACATAATAAGCTGCAGGCAAATGAATTCTTACATTCTTACTTTCTTCTGTTTTTCAAAAGAAAAAGATATGAAAACCTAGTTTTCACTGGGTTGCCAAGAAACGGAGAGATATTTCTGGAACAATGAAGCAGAAGCAAACTAGTTGAATAAATTTGGACTTCCGGTTCCGGATTGCAGCGCTCGCAGCTGCGTGAGACTGCTCTCCTCACCAGCTGATTCTCCGCTGCCAGTAGACCCCTTAATTGGGTCGAAAAGCCACCTTGGAGGGGCGGCTACCGGTGAGGAGGTCCTCGTTGTTCTTGGGAGAGCGGCAGCTTCTTCAGGGACCGAGATTTGCTCCTTTGGGCCAACGGTGGAAAGAACGGCCGGTAAAATGGCCGTTCACCTAGCCGCTGAAACCAGAAGTCAGAAGAACATCTAAGCACAGGAACCACTGTGGCTGAGCCGGGTGAGACTTTTTACTTTCCCTCTCTTGATTTTTCCTTTTTTTTGTGCCTGTAAAAAGCACTTTTGAAATTACTTCCCTTCTCTGAGAAGGCGGCGTTGGTGAGTGTGGAGAAAAGAAGCTTATGGATTGAATTAATTTAAAGTGACTTTTTTTACCTCTATTTTTATTCTTTTGTTTCACTTTGGGGTCTTGGAAAACCTTTTAATGTTGAATCTGCTATTGGACTTGAATTGCTTTTTTTTCCTCCGTGTTTCCTGATCTTGTTTATGAGATTCTTGGTCTATGGGAGAAGATTTTACATTGTACTAAGGACACCTTGTGGAAAAAGCTAAAATTGCAGCTTTCCCCTTTTTCTGGTGACTCAGATTGACCTTGACTTTTAGATTACCACAAAAGGAAAACTACAAAAGAAATTAGCAGCTGTACTGATGGGAGTGGACATTGATTAAATATTTTCTACATAGCCTCTACTAAATGATACAGACTGTTTCTAATTATTTTTGAAATGGAGCAACCCTTGGTTCAACTTGACTATAAACTTATACTGGAAAAACTTTACGAAGCTACTGATGAAATACGTTTGCAAATAAAAGAATTTACTATGGAAATAAAAAACAGAAATTCTGCTCTGAATCAACAAATTGACTCCCAGACCTTATCTGAGCTTTCTAGAGACCAAAAAACAACAGAAGCGGGACTAACCAAAGATAAAGAAGACTTTATTCTACTTTATATGCGTACGGATGAGATCTCTGAGGAACCAAAAAGGATTGTAAGTAATTCACTTACATCCCTAAAACCAATAGAAATGGACAGACAAATACAACGAGTTGAGAACTATGGTAACCTGGATAAACAACTATCATCTACAAAGTTGGACATAACTGACTTGGCTATTCAACATTTTCAAATGTGGAGATTTGAATTTTCAAAACAACAAGGGACTACCTACAAAGGAGCTAGGTCTCTACAACAGAAAAGAGGACGTCTCTGGTTGATTCAAAGGATTTTACAAGGCATAAAGAATGACTTGTTCATTGATATAGAGGCCTTGTTATGGAAACCGGTTTGGCATAAAAGGAAAGCCAGAATAAAATTTAAGGATGTGACTTAAGGTTTTAGGTAATGGGTTTAAAAGGCTTATCAGATATGGATTGATTTATGGCTTAAAACAGTTAAATAAGAGATTAGATTGAATAAAAACTAATTAAGGTTTGAACTTAATAATAACTTGTTTTATTTATGTATTAATATGCTTTGGATACAGTAATTTTGGGAGGTCGTTAAAGAAATTTGATACAGATATTGAGGGATTGATTGTTAGATTATAAAGAATAATAGAAATAGAAAGGTATTTTTTCTTTTTTCTTTCTTTTTGTCTTGTCTTTGTTTTTTTGTTGTTTTTTTCTCTTCTTCTTTTTCTCTCCCTTTCTGATTTGAATTAATATTTTCTTTTCTTATTAGAATTGATAGTTATTTGTAATGAAAGAGGAATAAGAAAAAAGGATGAAATGGTACTAATAAATGCTTATTGAATATGTTAAGGGAAAAGGTTATGGGGAGACCCCCGAAGTGTTAACTAGGTATTTAGATTAGAAATATGGAACATAGTAAGTGAAATAGGTAAACTCAATACAGGATTCGGATTTGTAGATTTATTTAGACGAAAGATTATTGAGGATTGCTATGATTGATTTAGTTCTACTGTAATATATCAATTTGAATATAATATGTCATTAGAGGGGAAAAAGAGGAGGTTTTTAATGACTTAATTTGAACTTTATGAATATGACTTTGTTTTGTGGACAATTGACTGCCCTGCCACCACGTTGTTTCTTAAGCACTTGTTTATAAAATGAAAAAAACCAATGAAACTTGTTTTTAAAAAAAACTAGTTGAATAAATTTGGGCGACAATATGGGAAAACAGTTCTGAAGACAGTCAATTGTATGAACACTTTATTTTTTTTATATATCATATCTCAAATGGATAAACTCTGCTTTATTGCTTCCTAAGGCAAAAGATTTTGACTGATTATGGATTGGATGCAGGTTGAAAAAAAAATTACATGATAAAACATGTAATAAAACATGGCCTTTGGGAAACTAGCTGCCTTACCAACAATCAACTTCATAATCAGAATAAGAAATGGAAGTGACCTTGTAGGTCATCTAGTCCAACCCCCTGCCCAAGCTTCATATAGATTGCTGTAATATTTATTTATATTTTCTTGGTGCTTTCCTTTTAAGTTATGAAGATAAACTTCTTTAGCTGGTATCATCATATCCTGACTTTAAAAGGCAGCATATAGGCAGCCCCCACATAATTAATCCGGGTTAGACATGTGGGAAGTCACCCACCCCCAAAGAAGGAAATATTAAAAGGGCACCACCTCTGTAGTGTCCTCATTTTGTTGTGACTGGTCTTATCTGTTTCTTTAACTGCAGTAGTAATGTGTTTTCAAACTCTGTCTGCAAGCTACCCCCCCCCCACCCAATTCTACTTTTCCTTTTCTTCTCCTCTGTTCTCCATGCCTTTGTCTGCATCTCCTGGGAGAATCACCGAGAAAGAGGGAAGGGAACATTGTTCTCATGTCTTTCAGGCCTGCATAGATGACTCAGCAACCCTTGGAAGCTGATCACGCTGACCCAGACACTGCCTCCATTAATTTGAACCAGAGAATGGGGTTTGAATCCAGCCATCCACTAGAAAGCCACCATGCAACCAGAGTGGAACAGATCTTCCCAAGTCCTACCATTCCCCCAGATGCCTGTGAAAGATGCAGAGGAAGGAAGGAGTCCTGGAGTCATTGGCCCTCATGTGAAGTCTCAAAAGACAACAGGGAAAAACTATGGGGGAGGGTGGAAACTCATCGTAAGATTTTTTTTTCTTGCCCCATTTGTGTTGTAATCAAGTAGTTGAAGGGATTCATGGAGCGATGGCATTTGGGAATAGTAGGCACAGCAAATACTGATCACCTTGGACTTCTTTTCTGATAGAAGGGAAAATTTGTCTAGGATGCTTGTATTGCTTGTTTTGTAGAAGTAGCTGCATGCACATGCGCACGCACACACACATACACACACACCATTCAGAATCACACTGAGTCTACCCCTTCACCTAACTTCAGTAAAGCTCCCCAGGCTGATTCTTGCTCTGTGGCACTGCAAATTCCAAGGGGGAGGGAATCAGGCCCCCTCAGGCGATTTGCAATCATATGCTGTCACTGAGGAGGGAACAGAAAAAGATCTCTAAAACCCAAACCCTGAATATCTTGCACTGGTGGACTCAGAGTGGGAGTCCTAGGCTGGCTGTTTGCAATTTAAGAAAAAATAATAGATTGGCTTGCACACTGGCTAACCTCAATTGGACATCACAAACCTGGATGCACTGAACTAAGAGTTAAGGCAGGAAACAACCCTTGAAAATGGGCAGCCAGTGGTTATGTATTGAGGAAAAACATGGCTGTGAGGAGTTTTGGGGAATGTCAAACCTGACTCAAAGTGATATCCAACATTTGAAAATAATTGGCACAGAATATTGGAAACTATAAATTTCTTTTCCACCTAAAAGAACTTTTGCCCTGGCTTTAGACCTTCATGGTTGAAAGGCTCCCCTTTTGGGAGCCACTGCAGGGATCTTTTTCTGCTGCCTCTATTAGTGTCTTCTTCTCTCTCTCTCTTTTTTTTGCATTAATAGTTTAATAGACTTAATAGACTTGTTCATCAAGTCTCCCTGACCAGAACAATTATAATTTTGTGCCAGTAAAAGTGTGTTATCCACATTCTTATGGTACAAAGGGGGGATTTGTGGGAAATCAGCCCCCCCCCCGAGAAGGAAATATTAAAAGGGCAGAATATTATATTTCCTCAAAGGATCTTAAAGAGGCAGAAAAGCATGCCCAGTTTTTCTTAATAGCCCCAAGTCTCCCTCCCTCAAGCAGAAACCAGCTCTGTAGAAATGCAGATGTAATAATCCACTCAGGAAGGTTGGAGCCCTCCAGCTAGACACCTAAAATCTACATACCCCACCCAAACTCTAAGACAGGACATAACAGGATTAATCCACAGATGCCAAAGGGGCACACTCAGACTCAGGTCAAAGTACATGACACAGGAAATACAAAGCTTCAAACAGGAACAGGAAACAACTCCAAACAAAAGCCCAAGAGGGTACAAAAACCCACTTCCTACTACATGTGCTCACTCTTTTCTTCCAGAGCCATCTTTCTGTCTGGCTCTCTTCTTTAATAAACTACAACCTTCTTTCTAAAGCAGTCACCATGTTGTTTATTCCCAGCTTGGACTGGACCCTGATGAAGACTTTTCCTTCAACAGACATATGGGGCAAAGTCCAAATGGGCAGGATTTGGAGTAAAAGTGCTCGTATTCTTT